CGAAGATGGCGGCCGAACTGGTAGAAGCGATGGTGAGTAGATGAGATTTTTTTAAATAGTGAAAGTAAAAGGAGCCAGGCGAGTTAGAAGCGGTGCTTATTCAAACAACGTGAGTTAAATTTCATACTGTCGTATTTGGTGCTCATTCAGGACAAGTGGCAGTCTGTAAAGTGCTTTGGCAATATGTATAAGTGTGTATGTAAATGGTTGTGTGTCAAAACCCAGTGAGCTGTTTCATGTATCCAGCATATCTGGCGCGTTCTAACGTTAGATTCGAATTTTTGAACGTTCTGAATGTGCATTTGATGTCCGAAACGCAGTTTGGTTGGACAGCTCACCAGGCTTTGAGACCAAAGCTAGTGTGTCTGTGTGCGGGCGCGCGCGTGTGCACTGCCTGTGGAAGTGAATGATTAGTCTGCACAATACAAAATAACAAATCAGTCTCTGCCTTTTCAAATCACACGTGCATTTTATCCATGTAGCTGTAAAAATCAACACAATTCCACACTTTGCAGTGCTGTATATAGTCCCTTGCACAAATGATGCATGTGGGTTGCATTAAAAGATAAATCATTTTCATTTGTGCAAGACCGTTTTACTACTGAATAGCAGCAGATGATCGCAGCCATGCTGATATTCAGTAGTGCAGCATGATTACGAACATGCTTTGAACCTCATATTGTTTTGCAGAACTGATTTCTGTGTAAGGTTAGTGTTTCTATGGAGAGTGTCATTGGCCTGCAGGGGTTCAGTCATAGTAAACTAGAGATTGAGGTCATTTTGAAGCTTGAGGATTGTCTTGGCATTGAATTTGGAAAGTTAAAAAAATATAAACAACTTTTTAAAAGTATTGTGAATTTTTAGTAATTATGAAATTTTAGTAGATGCTTTTATTTTAAGCAACTTTATGTACACCTAATATAGAGAAGATGAATATTTGTTCATGCACAATAAACATTTGAATTTTGAATTTATGGCTGTTAATGTGTCTATTTAGACTGGGATGAATAATCGCACGTACCAGTGGGACAGATTTTTTACAGAGAGGTGTTTTAATCTCTTTTACAACAAATTGCGAAGACAACTCTCATTCTCATTCTCATGAGCTGTTTTTGTCTTCCCAGAACATGGTGAAGAGTTTCCGGGTGTCTGATCTGCAGACGCTGCTGGCCTCAATGGGCCGCAGCAAAAGTGGGTTGAAGCAGGATTTAGTGGGAAGAGCTCTTCGGCTTGTGCAGACCGAATACAGTCCGGAGCTGCTAAAGAACGTTCGACAGCTCTACGAGACTCGCTTCCCCAAAGCCTCGTCCTGGCTGGCGGCCCGACGCCCTGAGTCCGTGCCCGTAAACTATCCTGCCCTTAACTCCTCGCCCAGAGGCACGGCCCAGGGCACAGACTACCTCAACGGCATCCCCAAACCAGCTCCGCCTTCTGTGGCAGAAGTCAAATTGGTGCCCCTGCCGTTCTACCACAACCTAGAAACGCTGCTGCCACCCACAGAACTAAGTGAGTCCCATTATTATGAATAGGGTTGGGAACCGATAACCGGTTCTTATTCAGAACCGGTTCTGTTTTTTTAAAAGAACCGGAACCGTGAGCAATTTCTAAGTTTCGGTTCCGAAAACGGTTCTGGTGCGAAACGTGACCAAGCGCTCTGAGCAGCCTTGCGCCGGCGTTTCCCGTAAAGGATGTCACAAACCAAATAACAGAAATGCCACCCTGCCTCTTTAATTACTGAGCACATTGTTTCCCATGACGTGCACTCCACAGACGCTCCGCATCTTTAACTGCCAAACACATAGTTTTCCACGACTGTACGCGCACTTGCGTCTTTGATAAATGTGCACGTTGTTTTGTCTGACTGTACATGTACCAGCAGCACCCAGCTCCTGCCGCCACTAAATTACTTACATACTGACTTCAACTTGGACCACTAAATAAATAGACTGCTATTGTTATGCAAGTATGAGGGTTAGATTATTTAGTGTACAGGTCATTTCAAGAGTGATAAACAAAGTGATAGAAAATAGTTTCATCCATTTTAATGTTTAAAAATGAGGAAACCACTCATTGCATCACACCATCTCCTGACTGCATTATTATTAGGGGCTTTTTGCAGTGTGTGTATACATGGTTATAAGTTTAATATTTCATTAATTTAGGGAAATGAAGTGTCTTAACCCTCAAGGGACTATTTAGCCAACCATCTTATTCCTGCTTGAAAAGCAAAATGTTATTGATAGAGTAAAAAACATCAACTTTGAAGCGCATGCATTACTCAACATTACTTACTACCTTCCAGCAACACTACATTCAATTACGATAAAATAGTAAAAAAATAATAATAGTTAATTTAAATGGAACCGGAATCGTGAGGCAAAACTGGAATCGGAACCGGAAAATTTCTAACGATACCCAACCCTAATTATGAATAAATAATAACCCAATTATAATAGGTGTGTCTAGCCAACAAGGAAACCATTAAGTGAGCTAATTATGTTTTTGTCACTCTTTGCAGTCGCACAGAACAGCGAGAAGCTGCAAGAAAGTCAATGTGTTTTTGAATTAACACCAAGTCAAGTGGAACAGATCCGGAACTCCAGGTAAGAAAAGTGATCTTGCTAACTGGTGGCTTTATTTAGCAATCAATCAGTGGCCAATAACAGTGCTGATGTTTAGGAAATCAGGATGTATTGTTTATATACATGTATGTGTGTGTGTGTAATTTGATTTAATGATCATAAAATGAGCAGGCCTATGTGGATTATAAGTGTGTAAAAAGATGCCCAACTTTAAAATTTCAACGCATGTTTTTTTAATTCATTATTTTGGCAACACTTATTTATAGTTAGTTGTGGCTTAATAATAAGGATTTAAAACATATATATATGAAGAGTTCATTTGCAATAACCAATAAACGGCACTTAAAAAAAAATTTAGCTGATTGCTGTGCATTATTCTCCACATATAGTGCGATCTGAACCCTAAACACGTTTTGTCAAAAAAGCCGGTTTTGTCCACTTTCAAAGCATCGCGAGTTCAAAGCGCCCTTGTTGTTTTTGAACAGAAGCCTATAAGTCCATTTTAGCGAATCAGCGCGCTGTATTCAGGTCAGGTGACAAGGCTACTTTCACTTTGAAAAGACGTGCTAGCTGAGTGGAGTTTCGTCAAAGCTGACTAAAAGTGATCGAGGATGGATAATTTCTACGAACTTGATGAATCTGTGATATCTTCTTCAAGGCGAAAAAGGAAAATAAAAGCTGAAACATTTTCACAGAACCTTGCAATAGCAGCGCGTTACAATGATGAGGGAAAAGCTCAGTGTATTGCGTGTAATCACATCCATACAGTTTATGATCACAACAACAACAACGTTTGTCAGGCATCTACATTGTCATCTGAGGAGATTACAAAGATTAAATGAGTATTTTTTTAAACTCTAAAATAGGGATGTTCATTTTAACCGGTTAACCGTTAACCGACCATGAAAAATTGACCGATTAATACAATCAGTTAAACGGTTTAAAAAGTAAGTAATTTATTTATTTTAGTAATTTATCAAAATATTTTAAAAGGTTTGCTGCATGGTTGAAATACGCTATGTGTATACAATATTGCTTTTTTTTAAGATGGAAGGAGTTATCTGCTTTTCCCAAAAAACGACTGCAAATGAACTCTTCACACACACACACATATATATATATATATATATATATATATATATAAATTAAATACAAAAGAATATTAAGCATCTTTAATTGTTCACTCATAACATTTTTTTCTTACTTACACATGCACAGTGAACTTCGCCCAGGGATGAAATCAGTTCAAGTTGTTCTCAGGTACGCCATTCAGCTAAATCATGTCTGTACATCACGTTTTAGAGTCAGAGATGCATTTATTGCATGCTAACGTATCCTGTTCTTCTCCTAGAATCTGCTACACAGACTCTATCGGTGTTCAGGAGGACCAATATCCTCCCAACATTGCTGTGAAAGTGAATCAGTCCTACTGTCATGTACCGGTAAGTGTTACGAATTTGATTTGGCTGAAAGAACAGGGAATGTGGTGGTTTCACCACTCAGGAGGATCGTGAGACTCAATACACCAGAATACATTTTCTGAATGCGTCTGTTGTGTTTTAAATGGTTTTCTTAGAATGTTGTATAACTTGTTGTTGTAAATTATGTATTAACTTATTTACATTACTACTTTTTGTTCAGGGTTACTATCCCTCCAATAAACCGGGTGTTGAGCCACGTCGGCCCTGTCGACCCGTCAACATCACGCCATGGTTACACCTCTCCACAGTCACTAACAGAGTCACCATCACATGGGGCAACTTTGGAAAGGTACAGAGCTATTTTCTTATATCTGTATATGTGAATGAACATGTTAGATGAAGGTGAGTGTGTTGTTACTGACCTCTGTGTTTTGGATGCAGCGGTACTCGGTGGCAGTGTACCTGGTGAGGGTGTTCACATCTGGAGAGCTCTTCAACCAGCTGAAGCATTGCTCAGTCGAGAGTCCCGAACGTTGTCGTGAACGCAGTAAGTTTCTCACCTTGGGCAAACACATTTTATGATCAGTGGTTACACTTGAAACCCTGGAAGTGTGATGTATGAAACAATAGTAAAAAAAAAAGTTGAAATGATTTGCATGTGTTTTTTAATGTATTCTCAGGCTTTTAATTAATAAAACTAATCACAACAACAAAAAATAGTTCACTGTATTAGTTCATTGCATTGACTTCCATGATTGATTGATGGTTTTTTTGTTCATAAAGGATCCTTTTAACCATTTGCTATGTGGTAGTTTCAATGCCTACTAAAGGATTAGGCTATATAAACACTAAACATTATTTATTTGAATAATACATTCAAATGTGTGGGATAGTTACGGTTTTTAGCATTGAAGATAATATGAAATGTTTGAGCTCCAAATCAGCATATTAGAATGATTTCTGAAGGATCATGTGACACTGAAGACTGGAGTAATGGCTGCTGATAATTCAGCTTTGACATCACATGAATAAATGACATTTTAAAATGATTTTCCATTTTAATATATTTTTAATTTCAATAATATTTTGCAATAATACTATATTTTTACTTAAATAAATGCAGCCTTGGTGCGTTTAGCCTTTTTCTTTCAAAAATATTGACAGACTTTAAAACAGCAGTGTGTGTGTGTAAATATACATAGCATCAATATTATACTGAAACATTTTTTGTTTGTATGTACACAGTTCAGGACAAGTTGCGCTTTGATCCTGAGAGTGAGATTGCCACTACGGGACTGCGAGTGTCCCTCATCTGTCCTGTAAGTGTCCAGTTTTTGTCTTTTATGTGGACTCTTAGCTGTGGAACCATCGTAGCAATGTTATAGATCTAATACGTCTTTTCAACGCAGCTGGTAAAGATGAGACTTGGAGTGCCATGTCGAGTGCTCACCTGCGCCCACCTGCAGTGTTTTGACGCTGTCTTTTTCCTGCAAATGAATGAAAAGAAACCCACGTGGACCTGCCCCGTATGTGACAAACCCGCTCCCTTTGAGCTTCTAACTATTGATGGGTAAGCACAGTTACTTAAACTCCTCGCTTCTCGCAGGCTCTGGCAGTAAAACTCACCAAACGTGACCCATTTCAGGTTGCTGTCCGAGATCCTTAAAGAGACGCCGGAGGATGTGGAGGAGATTGAGTATTTGACTGACGGTTCATGGAGGCCAATCAGGGACGACAAAGAGAAGGAAAGAGAGCGGGAAAACAGCCGCACACCTGACTGTCCTGTGGTGGATATATGTAAGAAGGTTTCTTCCTTCTGAAATGTCATTTTCAACACGTTTAACTTGCATAATATTACATTTGAGCAAATCTAAATATTTAATGGGAAATAACGGGTCTTAACTCTCATCCAAGGTGTTCCTGAGGCGAACGGCCACTCCCCAGCACATAGCGGCACAAACCAGACCGGGAAGTCTGGATCGGGTGGTGCATCGGCAGGAACCGGCGGCACCAGTGCCGGGTCGGGAGGCGGAGCCGTGGTGGATCTGACTCTGGACGACTCTTCGGAGGAAGAAGGAGGGGGCGGAGCTGAGGACAGTGAGGACACTGATGACAGCCAGGACAGCCCTGCCCCTAAAAGGGGCAGATATGATTATGACAAAGACCTGGTCACCGCATACTGAGACTGGCAGGACACTAAGACTTGTTGGGGGGGGTGTAGATGGGATCTGAGCCTTGGAAATTCAAGAAACATGTCCCCGTGTCCTCTCCCAAATGCATACACGCATGCACTCACATAGACGTGCACACTCATGCGCTGCTGGCATCTGGAGCAGTCGGGCATCACATTGACAAACTTGTTGATGTCCCGTAAAGCTATTCCCAATCATTCACAGCATCTTAATACTGTATTCTCCCTTTAAAGACCATGGAAGAGTAACACCACCCTCAGTTCTACTCAGTCGTCCTCGACTTCCTCTCCACTTTGTTTTCTGACAGGTTTAAACATCCTGGGCATCTTGCCAGTTTTAGTTTTATATGGAGCTGTTCAGACCTTCAAAACATTGTGAGACAAGCCACAGTATCTCAAAAACGTTCATTCCTTTGGGTCGAGATCATACAACCATTTACAATCTATTCAGAGGCGTGTTCTGTTGGTCCTCCACATAAGATGTTTATGTTAGCTGTTTGTTTTGATGTGATTTGGAGACATTGCTGACGAATTTCCATCTCTCTCATATATATATATATATATATATATATATATATATAAAATAATTTTTTTTTTATTTGTCCACAGATGTTGACAAGCTACCTCAGTCTAACAGCGAACTTGACCAGACCAGAGGGTTATTGAAAGGGTGTTAAATCCCTTGCATGATTTTTTTTTTTTCTTTTTTCAATCCCTTTTGTTTTTCATGTGCAGCAACACTGGAGAGGCATCATGCATTGCTCATTATTTTGTGCTTGCCCATTTAGACATCATATTAAAAAAGATTCTGACTCGAGCAATGAGTTTTCCAGTCAAATCTGTTGGTCAACTGGTGTGTACTGACTGAATGTAGTGTGCAAATGGACACTCAGTTCAGAAAGAATGGCGTTTTGACACCAATGGTCGTTTTGAGATGCTTGTCACCGAGTAAATATTGTACGATAGCTAATGCAATAATGATAATGTATTCTTTCTGATCATTTAATAGAAAACTGCAGGTCTCAATGTCATTTATTGCTTTATTTCAGTCGTTTTGGTCTGTACAAGTCATAACTACACAAAGGCAGAACGTTAAATTTGGTTGAGGAGAGGACAAAGAGTTGTTTTAGTTTTCATTTAGACATGTCTGTAGTAAATTATTAGGTTTATCTAGCAGGGGAGCTGACGTTATTGGCAAAATGTAACTTTATTTGGCTGAACTCAAAACTTGTTTTTTTTCTCAGTTGACATCCCTTTACAATTTTCACTTTTTTTCATTTTGGACGAATGGCTGATTTGTTTGAGCCCATTGTATGGAGGTTGTTTGTGTTCATTTCAGCCGGTTGAGAAGGTGTTGACATCTGCGTAATGTTTTGTGGACTTAGCGACAGGTGCGAAACTTAAATATGTTCCTTAATTTGTTGTCAGAATGAGTATTTATTGATTTAACAGGTTTTGCCTCTTTTATTTGAATTATGTTTGGTATTTTTGTGCATTTCATGAGGCATTTCGCAGCAATTTCATGAATTTCCAGCATGTTGCTTTGTGATGGTAGATAGCGCTGTGTCCTCTCACGGCCTGCTGCTGTACGTGCACATTCAGCCATTTGCAACAGTCCGAACATAAGGGGGCTTAGTCAGGACTATGCAGACTTGACCTAAACCTCAGAAGAATTAAACTCCCGCTAAACGACCAAACACAAATGGCACATCCATATGGCTGATCTGTTGAGGAGGACTCAGGGATGACGTGTTCTACTTGTCTTTACATTTTCTTCTCAGTCAAACTTGACACTCGAACCAGGTTCCAGCATTGTGTACAATATTACCCTCATCATCAGGTCACATAAGGCAGTCTAGGTTTCTGATCTGGAAATTAAGATGTACTTGCAAGGCATATGAATATTGCTGTGTATAGCATATTTTGTTGTCTTCCAAGGCTTCAGAGAAAATCACTACTCACAAGTGGTAATTTTAAAGTGTTTTTTTTTTTTGGCCCCCTTCCTATTTTCAATTAATCCTGAATTCTGACTTGAATACTCAGTACTGTATCCTATCTGTGTTTGGGAATTTCTCAACATAAGAATATTGCCATGAAGGGTTAAATTACTTGTAAATTTAGGTTCGTCTTTGAGTCGGCATGGTCTTCCATCTCTTCATGATAGCCCAATTTCATTCCCCCTTTATATATATATTTTTTAAGAGTAATCAGTGCTGCAGTTGACAGTTTCACATAATAAGCCCTTAATGTAGTATGTTCCCCTAAATTTCACTTTTGTGATTTTTCACATTTAAGGTAAGGAACTTCTTAAATAGACTTCCATCTTTAGATACCTAGGACGATCTATTAGATGTGGATAAAATGTACATTTGCTTACAATGAAAAGATAAATGGATGGTGATTGATCACAATATATTTCCAGCTCAGAGGTGAAGACGGCCTCTGTGTAGCCAGGTGAGGTTGAAGTGTTTTTTTTGGGAATGGAGGCAACCCCTCTTATTACAGTGCTTAAGACAGCATGGGCAGTGGCTTGCAGTTCTTGATGTAAATGTTTTGTTTGTCTTTTATATGTTCATATTAAAAGCCAATAAAAAAAAATAATATTTTATCAAGTTTTGAATTGCCTCCAGTTGCTCCAGAGGGCGGGCAAAAAAAAAAAAAATTTTTATTGGCTACTCTCAACCCTTCCTGAGGAAAATGTAAATCGGTGACCTTCTATGATGTCCTCAATGTGGGATTTGACAATATGAGCGAATCAGTTGTCCCTGTCTGAACTGAAATCGAACTGTAAAAGCTCTTAACTCCTGTCAATTATGTGTGCAATTAATTAAACTGATTTAAAATAAATGCCTTTCTAGTGATTTTTAAATCTTGGATTTAACTCCATTGATTACTTAAAGAATATATTTAAGTATACCTTAGAAATGTATAATAAAGATTTATTTTCCAGAATACCATAATTACTACAGTTAATTTTACTAAAATAAAACTGGTTACAAGTACAAAAAGAAGTATTGATGATTTGGTGACTTTGATACCATATTAGTGTATTGAGGTATTTGCATTGTGTAAAAAAGAAAAGAAAAAGTTTTGCCACTTTTTGTTAAAGATGGTAAAGGATTATTTCTAATATGAATATATTTTACTGTAGTATGGTATGTTGTCAAGCATAGCTGCGTAGTAACTGATTACATGTAATCTGGATTACGTAATCAGATTCCGAAAATTAAGTACTTGTAATTAGATTAAATTACATTTTAAAATAGGACCCCTAATCAGACTATAGTTACTTTTTTATAGATTATACTATTAAATATTATTCACACTTTCATCTTTGAAATGATCCTTTCTAAAACAGCCTATTGCTTATATAGGCCTACACTCAGAAAGTCTTCCAGTTTTCTGGACATTCACACGAAGAGCAGTCACTAGTCAGGTGGCTAAACATCATTTGACCACTGGATTTACAAAAATAATTTCAGGTTTAAGAAGTGTTTCAACATTGTATCAAATACTGATGAACACATTAATTTTTATTTGAATTATCACTCAATAGGTTATTTATTACTGTGTCTTTGGAAGGCTTTTGTCTTTCAAACACATTAAACTGCACAAATTCATGTTCTTTCTTATTTACATGTAATGCAGGTATTCCCAAACTTATGTCATCTGAACCTCTTTCACAAAATATATTTACTTTAAGTAGGCTACCCTACAGATTTTAAGATGCGTTCATATTTAAGTATCACGTATGCATGTTCGCGGTTGGTTAATGGTCACATGACATGCAGGTAAACAAACAAAATATAAAAAAAAAATAATTAGTAAGTGTAATATTTTGATTGTTGTTATTTTGAAATGATTTATTTTAATTTTACATTATTATAAAGTAATTAATTATTAGCTTTTCATTAAACTCACAAACCCTCTGCAGTTCCTTCATGAACCCCAGTTTGGAAAAACATTGACGCAATGTAATGTTTAATGTACTTCATGTTGTTGATTTAATATTACTCTGTATTTTTTTTATCATTATGGTACAACATTATCCTATTTAAATCAATGTGATAAACGAGTTTGGTCAAAAGAAGTAGTCTGATTATATTACCTGAAATGTGTAATGGATTACGTTAAATAATATTTTATCAAGTTTTGAATTGCCTCCAGTTGCTCCAGAGGGCGGGCAAAAAAAAAAAAAATTTTTATTGGCTACTCTCAACCCTTCCTGAGGAAAATGTAAATCGGTGACCTTCTATGATGTCCTCAATGTGGGATTTGACAATATGAGCGAATCAGTTGTCCCTGTCTGAACTGAAATCGAACTGTAAAAGCTCTTAACTCCTGTCAATTATGTGTGCAATTAATTAAACTGATTTAAAATAAATGCCTTTCTAGTGATTTTTAAATCTTGGATTTAACTCCATTGATTACTTAAAGAATATATTTAAGTATACCTTAGAAATGTATAATAAAGATTTATTTTCCAGAATACCATAATTACTACAGTTAATTTTACTAAAATAAAACTGGTTACAAGTACAAAAAGAAGTATTGATGATTTGGTGACTTTGATACCATATTAGTGTATTGAGGTATTTGCATTGTGTAAAAAAGAAAAGAAAAAGTTTTGCCACTTTTTGTTAAAGATGGTAAAGGATTATTTCTAATATGAATATATTTTACTGTAGTATGGTATGTTGTCAAGCATAGCTGCGTAGTAACTGATTACATGTAATCTGGATTACGTAATCAGATTCCGAAAATTAAGTACTTGTAATTAGATTAAATTACATTTTAAAATAGGACCCCTAATCAGACTATAGTTACTTTTTTATAGATTATACTATTAAATATTATTCACACTTTCATCTTTGAAATGATCCTTTCTAAAACAGCCTATTGCTTATATAGGCCTACACTCAGAAAGTCTTCCAGTTTTCTGGACATTCACACGAAGAGCAGTCACTAGTCAGGTGGCTAAACATCATTTGACCACTGGATTTACAAAAATAATTTCAGGTTTAAGAAGTGTTTCAACATTGTATCAAATACTGATGAACACATTAATTTTTATTTGAATTATCACTCAATAGGTTATTTATTACTGTGTCTTTGGAAGGCTTTTGTCTTTCAAACACATTAAACTGCACAAATTCATGTTCTTTCTTATTTACATGTAATGCAGGTATTCCCAAACTTATGTCATCTGAACCTCTTTCACAAAATATATTTACTTTAAGTAGGCTACCCTACAGATTTTAAGATGCGTTCATATTTAAGTATCACGTATGCATGTTCGCGGTTGGTTAATGGTCACATGACATGCAGGTAAACAAACAAAATATAAAAAAAAAATAATTAGTAAGTGTAATATTTTGATTGTTGTTATTTTGAAATGATTTATTTTAATTTTACATTATTATAAAGTAATTAATTATTAGCTTTTCATTAAACTCACAAACCCTCTGCAGTTCCTTCATGAACCCCAGTTTGGAAAAACATTGACGCAATGTAATATTTAATGTACTTCATGTTGTTGATTTAATATTACTCTGTATTTTTTTTATCATTATGGTACAACATTATCCTATTTAAATCAATGTGATAAACGAGTTTGGTCAAAAGAAATCTAAAAGTAGTCTGATTATATTACCTGAAATGTGTAATGGATTACGTTACTAAATACAATTTTTGTCATGTAATTTGGAATCAGTAACGGACTACAATTTCTACCCAGCTCTGTTGTCAAGCTATTTGGCTATTTGTCAACTGCACAGCTTACCAGGGTTTACTGACGAAGCTCAGACTGAAGAAAATGACGTATTATATTACAGCAAATGTGACATGATATGCTAAAATATTTCAGAAATTTGGCGGTAACTTTCCTTGTGAATGTGACGGTTCTTCAGTTCACCACTAGATGTCGTTCTTACTCAAATAAGCACTCATCTTTTTGTCAAAGCTCGCGACAACTGGAACGCTCTGACGACAGATCTCGCGAGAGCTTGTGAACGCTTCCTCTTGGTTGGATAGCGGCTTCCTGACCGGACTTTTTCCCCCCTCCTTTTTTTTTTCTTGGGGGAAATTTCAACTTGTGTTTTCGCGGGTCCTCCAGGCCAAACAATTTCGGACAGCGTTTCGCGGTCGGTCTGCTGTTTGCGAACGACAGGCCTGACTTGTCTTTTGCCGTCTTTTGTCTGTGGGAGCGCTCGCGAGCCAGAGGCCGAATCGAAGCGACATTCCAGCGATGAAATAAACTGCATTTAGTGCACTTTTGCGCCTGTGGCACTCGCTCTTTCTACTTGACATCGAAATATTATTTGACATAGCTTCTGGAAGCATGACAGGGTGTTGAAATTAAGAGCTTACGAATCTCAGAAACTTCTAAAGACACAACTGCAAGGGTTTGTGTAGCAATTTGAAGGATTGGATGTCAGCAGAGACAACCTGGTTGTTCTCTTTGAAATAGATAACTGACAAGTATGGCACCAAAAAGAAGACCGGTCCCCTTGATTATAACCCCCACAGGAGAAGGACAGTCAACCAACATAGATGCAGCATCAGAGTACGTATATAGTTTGCTAAATCTGACATTTGTTTGGCTTACCTTCTTGCATACTTCAGTATGTCTCACCTGGTCCTGTTTTTCCTGTCTTTAGGGCCAACCTGGAGGCCTTGCAGAAGAAGTTAGGGGAGTTAGACTTGGATGAACAGCAGAGGAAGCGTCTTGAGGCTTTCCTCACCCAGAAAGCCCAAGTGGGTGAGCTCAAGGATGAAGATTTTGACCCCATATGTGAACTCGGTGCAGGTAACGGTGGGGTGGTCCACAAAGTCCGTCACAAACCTTCAAGACTGGTCATGGCCAGGAAGGTAAGCGATCGACAGACTTGTGCACCTGCTGCTAGTTTGCTCATGGCAGGTAATGCAATGTGATCAAAGGCTGAACTTTTTGTATTTCCCCCAGCTTATTCATTTGGAAATCAAACCAGCCATCAGGAACCAGATTATACGAGAGCTGCAGGTCCTGCATGAGTGCAACTCACCATACATTGTAGGGTTTTACGGCGCCTTTTACAGTGATGGAGAAATCAGCATCTGTATGGAGCACATGGTGGGACCAATGTTGTTGTTTAAGGTTTATAGCAAGAGTTCATAGCAAAAGTGTTACAGCACACTGACATGTATTTGTCCGCAGGATGGAGGTTCTTTGGATCAAGTGCTGAAGGAAGCCAGAAGAATCCCTGAAGAAATTTTGGGCAAAGTTAGCATAGCTGTAAGTATTATCATCCTCCTCTGTTGTATCTGTTTCAAATAATGCTTTTTAGAGATTGATGACAAATCAACCATACTGACACAACAATGATTAGTTGGTTAGCAAGGTTGGCTAGATTGTCTAGATTTTTAAAGCCTAACCAATATTA